GACCCATGAGTCAGAGAATACCGAAGACCAAGACAAATACACTCCCCACAGGTGTGGCTCTGGGGACAGGAAGGGGGAGTCAGGGGGGCTGGGTGTTGTCCTTCCTGTCTGGAGGGACCTTGAAATAAGTCTTTCTTTAGAGGTCTTCTGACTGCATGCTGGGATGGATGACAGCAGGTCCCCTCACACATGCTAGGCAAGGGCTGAACCCCTGAGCCATATCCCCAGCCAGCAGACACACACTGTCTCTCCTGCTACTACAGGGATCAGGGAAGGAGGGAAAGGAGCACTTCCTGTGGCCTGAGACTTCACAGTCACTGGGAGCATGGCCTAGATATACTAAAGCTGTGCAGATGCAACCCTACTTCCTTCTGAAGGTTATGTTCCTTCCTTTTCCTTCCTTCCCACCTCCAATGTTATCTCTCTCTCTCTCTCTCTCTCTCTCTCTCTCTCTCTCTCTCTCTCTCTCCCCTCACACAGAGTTGAGTCAAAATGATGTCGATGATCCATGAACCAGGAATGGAGCTGGAAGGAGGTGTGGAGGCTTCCTAATGTGGTGGGAGCTGGGGGAACAGAGTGGCAGACACTTCTCGGTCTAGAGCCCAAGACTCTTCAAGCCCGTGTTGTCCACCATGCCTTCCCTAGAAGCTGGACAAGGCAAGAATCACAAACAAGAGTGACTTCTTCCTTAGGGTTTCCTGAAGGGAAATCTTTGAATTTAGCCCAGAGGGACCCATTTCAGGCTTCGGAGCCTCCTACCTGCAAGATGATGTATGTATCAAGTGAATTTAGTTGTAAAATGATACACTTGTTTCAAGCCACTGTCTGAGGTAGTATGTAACACCAGCAAGAGAAAGCTTATCCAGGGTGGTGGTGTTTTTGGAGACAGAGTTTTGTTCCTCGCAGTTGAGGGTGGCTCAGGACTCGCTATATGATGTAGACTTGCCTTGAACTCGTGCGGACCCCCTTGCCTCAACCACAGCTTTAAAACTGCAGAGGAAGCACTCACTGCTCCCTCTTCCGGGTTAACTGAACATCTATGTGTGAGGAGCTATTTCAGGTCCTGGAGGAGACAGAATTGAGTCAGAACAAATCTTGAGCTCTAGCTTCCCAAGGATCTGGGGAAGGGGCAGAGCATTTTAAAAACAACCACTACTTTTAGGGTGTGCCTCATGTCCCAGCCTTGTGGCCCTCTTCTCTCTGGCATCAGTGAGAGCTTGCCAGGTCCCCTGCCACTTCACCATTCTGACACCATTTGACCCCCTCTTCCATCTTTTAAACATCCTTGGAATACCATGGGGACCACCCGAGATATCCAGCATCATCTCCCTGCTTTAAGATCAGATGATTTGCAACTCTAATTCCATCCCCCCCCATAACATAGATCCAAGGATTAAGCTGAGGACATCTTCGGAAAACGTGGTATTCAGTTCAACACAACGTCCAGTGATTTTCCTTTAGGGTCCGACTTATTTAAAGCATTGCGTTCTAGTATCTGTTGAGTTCCTGCTGTGTCGTGTGCCTGGCGCTGGGAAGTCAAACACACACAATACACGGACAGTAGCAGGCAAGAAAGAGCACCAGCAGAGCACTTTGACAACAATGTAGTATAGGTGACAGAGGGGGACTGGGGGGCACAGAGAAGACGCATCAAACAGAGACCGTAGAAGCAGACGGCATCGGGCCCGAATATACTGGCTTCCCAAGACCTTTTTGAGTATCTCTTGGAACCCTCAGGGGTGATGCCACTGAGAGCTGGTACCTTTAAGAGTGACCGCCTGGGAAGTCTTAGGGTCACTGGAGATGTGCCTCCACAGACATTATAGGACCCTGAGCCCTGCTCCTCTTCTCTTCTGCCATCTGCTTCCTGGATTCCGGTGAGGTGAGTGGTTTGGCTCCACCATGGGCTCCTGTGTGGTGTGTTACCACTGGCCCCAAATGATGGTTTGCTTGATCATAGACTGGAAATTCCAAATCATCAAGCCCAATCATACCTTTTCTGTCTCTAATTTGATTATCTGAGGTATTTGTTATAGCGGCAGAAAGCTAATACACACATGTGGCTTCCTTCCTTCCAGGGAACATGAGTGTTTGGCTTTCTCTCAATGAGCAGTGTTCTCTATGTGTACTGCCACCATCCTGGGCTGCCACCCCCTGTTGACTACGGCTGATTCAAGGCCCTCAAAGGTGACTTTGTAGCGTCAATTCCCAAATCACACCAGGGTCTGGCCTTGATTACCTCCCTGCTTTAGGCTTCTTTTCCCTAGAGCTATCTTCATTTAAGTCCTAATTAGGACAGCACCAATGAACTGGAAATGCGTTTCCATAAAGTGATCGAGCGTCTCAGCAGATTCTTTGCTCCCTTGAAGGCAGCAGCTGTGGCATGATGGAAGGAGGGAGGGTTTGAATCCGAAGATCTGGCTCTGACGCCAACCTCTGCCACTTAATCTGACCTTGGGGGAGTTACCACAATTCCCAGTCTTGATTATAATTATGGAATGGGGGCTGTAGTAATCAGTATGAGCTAACTGCTGTAACCAAATTTTAGACTTCTAATGTTATAAAAGCTTTTATCTTGCCCATATAACAGTATGACTTGGGTGTGCCTGATCACATAGCTCTTCTAGCCTATTCTTTTTCCACTGAGATTCGGGGACTCAGGATCCTTCCATCTTAGTTCCCCAGAGTCTCTCTCCTTAGCTAAAAAGAGGGAGAAGGTTAAAGTTTTAGTAGTTTTGTGAGCCAGGTCAGGATGTAGCCTACAGTTCATCGGGCAGAGCTCAGGAACATGCTATGCCTAATTAGGAGCAAGGGTATCTGGGAAATGTAGTCCAGCTGTGTCCAAGAGGGAAATCATTTGTAGAACTGCAATGTCCTGTGAGGATAAACTTGTTTCTGGAATTAGATGAGACAAATAGGTGCCTGTGCTCAGACAGGCCCAGGACACATTGTGTGTGTGTGTGTGTGTGTGTGTGTGTGTGTGTGTGTGTGTGTGTGTGTGTGTGTGTGTGAGAGAGAGAGAGAGAGAGAGAGAGAGAGAGAGAGAGAGAGAGAGAGAGAGAGAGAGACTGTCTCATAGAATAACACACCCTTGAGAAAGGAAATGTAAATTAAGGGCTGTGGGAGGAGGCCTGCTTAATGTTTTCTTTTAGAGCATAGTGTATCAGGGGAAAATAGTAAGAAACAGACCATTATCATCAATAACAAACACTCCATGAGGAAACATAACCCATTAGCCCTGGGCACCCCTCAGAAAGAGCTCCCCGACACAGGGACCCTGAGCTGGGCCTGCAGAGCCCACGGCCCCTTTTATCTGTTTCCACTGTGTTGTGGCTACTAATTGCTTTCTCCATCTCCAGCACCACCTCAAGCACATGCTAATTCCTCTCTCTGAGGATTATCACGGGAGCCAAATCAACACTGATAAAGGGTGTGGGGTGGATTAGAGCCGACAAGATAATTCAGAGGAATAAGTAGGGCACCATAGGCCAGATAAAGGAGAATTAAATGCAATCTGGCCAAGAGAAATATCCACATTAATTGAAATGTGTGTGCAATGAGTGTGCAAATGAGTTGAATAGAAAGAGAGACTAGTTACGCCAGTGATTTGTGATCCAGTTCCACTTTGCCTCCTCAAGTGTGAGGGTCCTTCTGTGCCATCCCCTTCCCCATCCTCTCCCTCCCTCCCACCCGATCTTCCTCTCTCCTTCCCTCCCTTCCTCCCTCCCTCAGCATGATGGGATCATAAGCAGGAATGGAAGAAAGTCCATCTCCCTTTCTGACTGATTCAGGCTGACGATTGTGTTTGAATACGTATTTCTTTTTTAAAGATATAATAAGTATATTATGTTGCCTCCCTTTCACCATCTCAGTCCCTACCTTGGAAAAAGCAGTGGGAAGAAACTATTAACCAATGTGAGCTGCTTGTAGCGATGTCCTGAGGGACACATCCATCTCCATTACATGTCCAGCTGTTGAGAGCTGCGGCAGGCTTCCTGAGGAGCTCCACAATTGTGGGGAAGGGCTGGCAGGGAGCAGCTCTGAAGGTGATCTTAGAAGCACGCCCCTCTCTGAAGATGTCCATGGGGTTATTAGGAGAGTGCAACCCACCCCCCCACAACATGTTAAGGCTCAAGACAAGCTGCAAAGAGTGAGGAGTAGGAGTCATTTGAAAGAAGGTACAGGACAGGCGAAATAGAAATAATGATTGTGGCTGAGGGCTCTGAGCTTTTACCTTGCCAGGAGTTATTTCTGCTTTGCCCAGGGAGGAAGCCACAAGAGTCCTTTGATGTGAGTGCTAACTTGGACATGAAGAGGTGGGTAGGAGGGCAGGGCTGCGGCTTGGGCTTGGCTTGGGTGATAGAAGAAAATCAGACGGGGAGAAATGAGGAAGAAGAGGGCAGGCCAGTGAGGGCAGAAATACAGAAGTCAGAATCCCTGTACTAGACCTGCTTAGGTCTGTGTTTTCAGAAGGAAGAGATGCAGAGACCCGTAAAGAGTCTTGTCACTGTTGGGGTGAAGGGGACATCTTGGCTTTGTCTAATTGTGCTTTTCTTTGTGGAAAATTCCAACAGAGATCTCCCAGAAAGGAGTTGCAAGGCATGTTTGTTAAAAACTGAGGCTAGAATTCCAGCTTTCCTAGCTGGGGGACCTGGTGGAACTTCACTACCCCCAACCCCGAAGCCTGGAAACTAGTGGAGACTGAGGAATAATGCATGTGTCTGGTACATTATCAAATGTAACTGATATAAAAAAAATGCTTAGTTTGTCAGACAGAGGACTGGATAGGTGGGAAGGCACCTCAAAGGTGACAGTGGAGTCCTGGTGCAAACAAACATCTCTTGTCACTGGGATTTTAGCCTTGCTAATGAAAGAATTCAGAAGAGACACAAAGAGCACAGTGTTGAAGGTGGGTGGAGCTTATTCCAGAGCAGAACTGAGCACACTCCCCTGGGTGACATGGACAATGGCATGCTCTACATGTGAGGCACGCCTCATTCTTTCTATAGTCTCCAGAACAAGCAGCTTTTCCTGAAGGGCTTTGTGTCGTCGGTTCAGGTCATTGACAGGCCTATCTGGACCGGCCGATACCGGCACATGCAGTGATGGTATGTAAAGCCTCCTGCTAGACGGTAATCCTCTAAAGTTTACTTAGGGTTTCTAGATAGTTCTCTAGTAATGACCTGGGCAGTTCAGGATGGCACATCTCCATCCAGGGCCAGGGATCTGACTCTTGGCCCATTCCTTTGACTGGTAATTCAAGTCACATGGTTCCAGGATTTACAGGCTGTTGATTGCAGGGGAGGGGTTCAGCCTGTGTCCTTAAAGACTACTAAGGTTGAACTGGTGACCTTAGCAGGGTGAAGAGGTAGGTTCTGGTCATTGTGTTGTCACGACACATTTCAGTCCCTTGGGCAGTTTGAATATGACGTTTGGGACTTGGGTACCATTTAGAGAATTATTTTGGGGGGTGATGGGGGAGATGACTCAGTGGATAAGACACTTACCACGTAAGCCAGGCAAACTGAATTTAACACCTTGAGTCCATGGAAGGAATAAACTGACTCTACAAGGTTGTCCTCTGACTTCCACATGTGTGTGAATGTGCATCCACACATATATAGCATACACACACATACACACACACACACAATAATAAATGAATTTTAAAATTTTGTGTGTCTATGTAAGCCATGTGGTAAGGGTGTGTACGTGTGCAGCTGCCAGAGGAGGCTCCTCAGTGTCCAGCTGCATGGCTCTCCACCTTATTCTCTTGAGAGAGAGTCTCTCACTGGAGCTAGGCTGGCAGTCAGTAACCCCAGCGATCCTCCCATCTCCTACTTCCTCCCCAGCACTGGAATTCAAGGTCTACCCAAAGTCACACCTGGCTTCCTAATTAATTCTGGAGATTTGAACTCAGATCCTCATGCTTGCACAGCAAATACTCTTACCTGATGAGTCATCACCCGAGCCCTCATTTGTGTGTGTGTGTGTGTGTGTGTGTGTGTGTGTGTGTGTGTGTGTGTGTGTGTATGCATGTATGCGCATGCACGCTGGCACATATGCACATATGCATTTTGTGGGTACATGTTCACGTGAATATTTGTGCATGTGAAGATCAAAGGACAGCTTCAGTCTTCGACCCTCATGTGCCAACCCCTTTGCTCTTTGAGACAATCTCTTTCATTGACCCAGAGCTAGACACGCAGGCTAGATTGTCTGGCCAGCAGATTCCAGGGCTATGCTTGGCTCCTCCTCTCCAGGGCTGAGATTACCGTCAGATGCCCTCACATTTAACTTTTTTTTTTTTTGGTTTTTCGAGACAGGGTTTCTCTGTGTAGCTTTGCGCCTTTCCCGGAACTCACTTGGTAGCCCAGGCTGGCCTCGAACTCACAGAGATCCGCCTGGCTCTGCCTCCCGAGTGCTGGGATTAAAGGCGCGCGCCACCACTGCCCGGCCCAACTTTTTTTTTTTAATGTGGATTCTGAGGATGGAACTCAGGGTTTCATGCTTGCTAGGCAAGCGTCCCACCAGCGGAGCTGTCACCTCAGCCCCCTCAGGCTCCATTCTAAACTAGTGACCGTCTAACCAGGCTGAGCTGTTGCGGAGTTCTCACAGGAGGTCTGAGGTGAACTCGAGAGCAGCCCTCAAGAGAGGGCAGCTTCGAAATGTTCCAAAACCACTAGGTAGGTGGCTATTTCCTCTCAAGGATGGGGGGTCTATAGAGGTCAGAGACTAGAGTGACTCAGGAGCCAGGAAATTTCCAAAAGGGAAGAGGAGGTGGAGGGAAGGCGGTGAGTAGGAAAGGAAGGACTGAGCAACCTTCAGACAACCTGGGGTGGGGGTGGGGCTGAATTATCTGTTTCCACAGGTCAGAAGGGGGTCAGGTGATGACCAGGGATGATGGTGAAGGCAAGGAAGTCTTAGAGACTGCTATTGGGTCTGAAGAACATACCAGTTGAAGGTGTAAAATGATGCTGATGGTAAATAACATTTGTGGAGCTAATTATCATTCATTTATTCAATAAATACAGCGTGCCTGATAAATGCCAAGCACCCTTTGGTGCTGAGAACAGATATGTCAGTGAACAAAACAGAAAAGGATCCCGCTCCCGTGGAGCTTATGGATAAGCAGAAAGAAAGATTTAAAAAAAAAGAAAAACTGTGTGTGTGCATGTTCATATTTGTGAGTGCAGGTGCCCATGTGCTGCTTCAAGCATGTGGGGTCAGAGGGTGACCTAGAGTATCAGTCCTTGCCTTCTACCTTATGTGAGACAATATCTCTGCTGTTCACTGTGTGTGTATCAGGAACTTCCAGGGATCTTCCTGTGGTCATTTCCCATCTCACAGCAGGATACTGGGATTAGATGCATGCTACTGAACCTATTGTTTGTTGTTTGTTTGTTTGTTTGTTTGTTTATTAACATGAGTTCTGAGGATTCTAACTCAAGATCCCTATGCTCATGTAGCAGTCCAGAAAAAGAGTTGCTAAAATAAATATATTTGTGATGAGGTAGGTATCTATGTCTGGATCACACCTCACACTGTATCCAAAAATGGATTCTAAATGTACCAAGAATCTGAGTGTAAGAGTGACTATGGACATCTTAGATACATTGAGCCTGATAGTTCACACCCATAATTGCAGCACTCAGGAGGCAGAAGCAGAAGGATTCCTGGTTCAAGCCAGCCTGGGCTACTTAGTGAGATCATGGCTTAAAAAAGCAAGTGAGAACAAATGAAACAAAAACTCTTAGAAGAAAACATAGGTTTTGGACCTCGGACTTGGCAGTGGATTCATAGCTATGACACAAAACGCCCCAACATGAGAAGAAAAATAAGACAGACCCAGTTGACTACATCAAGTGAAAAGCATTTATGCTTCATGTATGCTACCAAGTAAAAAGGCAACTTATTTTTTTTCTGTAAACCTAAAATTTCTATAAAAGTGTATTAATTGACAAGACTGCCCACAAAATGCAGGAAAATACTGCGATTATATGTCTGTTTAGGGCTTGTATTTAGACGATATAAATAATTTCTCTAAAATGGGCAAAGGATGGAAATAGACATTTCTCAAAGGAAGATATACAAACGGCTAATAAGCATGTGAAAAGATGCTCAACATCATTAACCCCCCAGAGAGATGCCAATCAAAACCACACGGAGGTACCACATCACACTCACTAGCATGTGATGATTCTAGGAGCAGAAAATAGCAATGGTGGGGATGTGAGATGGTCCAGCCACCCTGGCAAACAATTCCTAGCAGTTCCTGAAAAGCCAGGCGGAAGCTTACCACCTAACCCAGAAATTCTATTCTTAGGTGTGACTCTAAGGAGAAATGGGAACATGTCCTCATAAAAATATGTGTGTGAATACCGCATGATGCAAATGCAAGCAGAGTTATTCACGATGGCCAACTATGGAAATAACCTTATTCCTTCCTCACCAAGGGATGAATGGATAAAGACAAAGCAATAGAGTGTTTTCTGTCCATCAAGAGGAATGAAGTAATGATACATACTACAGAATCAGTAGACCTTGAGGGAAACCAGTTATAACGCTATAGTATTAATATGCTTCCCAGTGAGAAATAACTCCAAGCACTTAGAGATTAATAAAGGATAAATAGTGCACAGCTGGTTCTGGTTAGTGTGCAAAAGGGAACCAGCCCCGAACAGAAATCAGCTTGTATAGTTTCATCACCACAGTTTACAGTTGGAGGAATTAAACATGTTTCACAGAGACAGAAATTCCAAGGTGTTGGACAAATGGGGAGATTTACAATGTAAAAACAATGTCATAGTTCTCCATAGTTGACATAGACTACTTTTCCCAGGCTGCTGTTAACTAGGGTCATCCTGCCTGTGAGGCCGAATTGTGTTCTTCCTGATAAGAGAACCTAGGAGTGCTCATTTAGCTAAAATCTCCTTTGTGTGACTTCCTATTTCCTAAGCAACTTTAGTGGGTCCTTTATGATGTCAATTTATCACTCCTAGTTTCTCCTATGTCAACAATAGGCCCTCTATCACATGGCTCCATTTGTTCGAAACATCCAGAATGAGCAACTACACAGAAATGGAGGAGTATTGTTTGGGGCTGGTGGGAGGTGGCAAGTGCCTTGGGAGCCTTGGGAGTGACAGCTGAAGGTGTGTGTTTTGGTGCTAATGAAAATGATCTTAGCTTGACAGTAAAGGCTGAATAGCCCCAGGCAGACACGAAAACCCACTGAACCACACACTTGAAGTGGGCGGATTGTGTGACATGTGAGTTACATATCAACAAAAGCTCTTAAAAATCAGCCAGGCATGGTGGCTCATGCATGTAATGCCAACATTTGGGAGGCTGAGACAGGAGGATTGTCATGAATTACAGATAGTTTACGGCAGGTAGTGATAAATAAGATGAAGAGTTAATAGATAGGGCTATTGAGAGACTAGCCGAAGAGGATCTTCCCACAGAGATGGTGTTTAAGTGGAAACCAGGAAGAAGGGAGGGTGTGAGCACTGTGAATACAGCTGCACACCACACAGTGACACCTTGGTCAACAACACACTTGGTAAATAACCACGGTCCTATAAGACGATGGCGGAGCTGAGATAGCCCCGTTGCCTAGCTGCTTGCTGTCAGGCTGGAACATAATGCATTACTCACATGTCTGTAGGGATGCTGGTGTGAAACTGCCTGAGCTGGGGAGAGTGTGAAAGTGAAGTGCATCATGTGGTGCCTAGAGCATAATCCATGACGATGCCAAATGAGTGTGTGACTGGCTTTTGTCTGTATTGTACTTTGACATTTACCGAAGAGTGGGATCCTTCTACTGATGAAAACCAGTTCACTGGAGCTGGGGAGAGGGCTCAGCTGGCAGTGTGCTGGCCACACAACTATGAGGACCTGAGTTTGATGCCCGGAACCCCTGAAAAGAATCCAGGGGTGGTATATGGTTGTAATTCTAGTGCTGGGGAGGTGGAAAGAGGCAGACCCCTGTGGCTTGTTGGCCCATCCGTCTTGCCTAATCATACCTAGGTCCCACTGAAAAACCCTGTCTCAAAGCAAAGGCTAAAACAAAACCCAAGGCGGGGGCCTAGGGAACATAGCTCACTGAGTAAGAGTGCTTGCTCTGCAATTCTGGGGGCCCTGATTTCAACTCCCCAGAACTTGGGTAAAAGCAGGACATGTAGTGTGAGCACCTGCAACGCCAGCACTCCTGTGGAGAGACTTGAGGTTAAGATAGGAAAAAGCCCTGGAAGCTCAATGACCAGCTAGCCCAGCATGCACAGTAGGAAAACAACCAAGAGGCCCGTCTCAAATCAGACAGAAGGCAAGGACCGACACCCAAGGTTGCCCTCTGATTTCCACATGTGTGCCATGCTGTGTACATGCTTGCATTCATATACATAAATGTACAGATGCACACACATACGTATATATGTGTATATGTACATATATAAATCAGTATAAAACAAACAATGAGAACAATAATAACAACAACAAATGACATCTGAGGAACCACACCCAAGACTGTTCTCTGGCCTCCACACCTATGTGTACCTGCATCCATAAGTAAGTGTGGATCTATACCAACACACACACATACATCACATACAACACTTAATAAACACCATGTGGTTTTGCTGGCAGCCTCCTCAGACATCTTGTTTCATAATGGCACCCATTTTCTCCTGGGTTTCTCCTGTGTTTTATCTGATCTCCTGTGGCTTTGTTCACCAAGGCCCTATGAGCAGAGGGCTACATCATGTGTGCGATATGGACACACACTACACTGTATGCCAGGATATCTGTTTGTGGGAGTACTCACACAGCAACGTCACGCAATGACACATTTCTCAGAATGCACCTTTAAATGCCCCATCCTTAAGTCCTGAGTACATTTCCTTAGAATGCTGTGTGACTGTGCACCAGGATGAGGAAGAATGGGCTAGGCCAGAAAAACAAGTGTAAGGTCCTGAAGTGGCATGGTGCTTAGAGAAGGCAGGTGTGGCTGGCTGAGCTAACTGAGTGGTGATGGAGGTGGCTGGGGGGGCAGGAAGTGTGGGATGGGGGTGGGGGTGGGGGGAATGAAGGCCATAAGGATGAAACTGATGTGGGTAAGTAAATTCAGATGCTTTGCCTGGGGGGATGGGAAGCCCTGGGAGTCTGAAGCCAGCAAACAACACACACGCACTTAGAGTGTGCTAGCATCCCTCTGGTTGTGGGTGGAGAAATGTCCACAGGGGCTTGCTGTGAGTACTGTGTTGTTTTTAACAGCTCCCTGGCTTGGGGAGGCTCTGGGCTGTAATGTCTGCTCATTTCTGGAGCCTAGACGGTCCCACCCTGGCCAATTTCAAACTACCAAGAGTTTGACAACCAGCTCTAAAAACTTGTGGAAATCGAAGCGGTCTGCTCTGGGGAGCCACTGTGAGTCAGCACCAACAAGGCAGCAGTGGAAGACAGATTTTGAGTTTCTAGGACTGTCATAAAGGAGAGAAAACAGCCTCAGACTGCAGGGAAATTATTTTTTCTTTTTCCTTTTTAAAATCTCTGTTCTCTCTCTCTCTCTCTCTCTCTCTCCCTCCCCTCTCCCCCCCCCCTCTCTTTCAGTGTGTGTGTGTGTGTGTGTGTGTGTGTGTGTGTGTGTGTGTGTGGTGTGTACATACATGTGCACATGTCTGTATGTACCAGTCTGGCCACATGCACGCCATGGAGTGTGTATGGGTGTCAGAGGACAACTTTAGATGTCATTCTTCGTCTTCTGCCTTGCCTGAGATGGGATCTCTTGTTTTGCTGCTGCATGTGCCAGGTTAGCTGGCCTTTGAGATTCAGGAGTCTCCACTTTGCATCCCACAGGAGGAGCACTGGTACTGTAGATGTGTGCTGCTGCATTTGGCTCTATGTGGATTCTGGGATCTGAACCCGGGTCCTCACATTTGTGCAGCCAGCACTTTATCTGTTGAGCCATCTCTCCAACTCGGGGAAAAATGTAAAGCTTCCTCCTGTTAATTATGAACAAGGGTACGTGATGTTTCCACTACCTGTCACTTAATCCCCGACTCAGCCCAACACCACTTAGAGTACTTTTGCACCAAGCAGGAAGAGGTGCCTTTCTGCTGGGAGTCAATAGCCAGCACAGCAGTGCTGGAGCAGTTGGTGAGGGGTTTGTGATGACTCCCTCTTCACAGGTGTGGAACAGGAAGCCACAGTGGTGAAGTGATTTGTCTGAAGTGGAAGAGGTGGGATTTGAAACGGAGTTGCTCCACCTTAAAGTCTTGAGTAGTTTTCCTTAAAACCCCATAGTGTTTTAAATACCACCCTCTCAAATGTTTAGCAGTCAGGTGTAACAGACTGACAAGGTCTGTGGAGAGAGAGAGAGACATAAAACAGTGAAAGTGATGTTGGGTAGCAGTTCTTCGATATAGAAACATTCCATCCAGGAGCAAAGCTTCTTCAGAGTCAGGAAGTTCTAAAGTGAAGTTCGTCAACATTAAGAAAACAAACAATTCACAAGTCTCAGGAAGTCCCTGAATCTTACCAGATTTGCAAGGCCTCTCTATTTCTATCTTCAACAGTAAGGAATGCTGAGGAGAGAGACTCCCAGAGCTGTTGAACTGCCAGCAAGTTGCATAGAGTACTCTGGGGTTTCAGATTTTCTGGGTCATCATTACTCATGTTGGGGAGGGTTTTCAGCAATGCAGCTACTTTTGAGACAGCCACACTCCTGCAAGGATCCTTTTACACACACTACTCATTAGTTTACCAAGTTGTACTTCAGTGTAGGATTGTTACTTTGGTCTGTTACTGGCTCCTTATCTGGAGTGAGTAGAGATTTGTTTATGACTCCCAAGGAGTACTGTCACCCAACATCTGAGTTATAGATTTCTATGGCAACATTTTATCCCTCATGCTGTGGAAGATCCAGGCAAAGAGAAAGGGGTAATAACAGTCAATAATCTTAATAATAAACATCCAACAATTCAGTTGATGAACATCTATTTTGCAGAAAATAATCCAAATACCTTTGTATTAATTCCAGAAAAAAATAGTTTTTTTCATTAAAAATGAGAACACTGAGTCTCAGAGAGAATAAGAATCAAGTCCACAGTCACACAGCTAGAGAGTGAGGGTCATCCAGGGCATTTCAACACAATCCCACTGCAATGTGAGTTCAACCGATGGGCAAAACCATCCTGCTAGTGTGCCTGTTCTCCCTCCAGAGATCATGGGTGTAATTTTGGATCAGAGGAAGCAGGTCACTTCCTGAAATATGTTGGAACATGACATCTAGCCAGTTGTGTGGAGACCATTTTTTCATCCATTTCACAAACACTGAGTGTTCCTGTTCACCAGACATCCCAGCTAGACAGTGGAACTCTAGTCATGAGTAAGGTGTTACCAGTGGCTTTATAACTTACTCAGCATTTCTCTCTGTGTCTCCCTTTGCTGACACCCAGTCTCTCCAGAAAACTATGATGCTTACATGGCTTTCCCTGAGTAGCTATGGGAAACAGGATCTGGATACATGGGGGGAATTGGGTTGCTACTTCCCTTTTTTGTGCCCAAATTCCCCTCCCCCCAACTGGTTCCCAGGGCCAACAGAGTTAGGAGTGCCCGCAGCAGAATTCCTGGACAGCATGAGTTGACTCTCCACTTACACCCCTCTTCTTCATTTACAAAAATTTCCTATTTTTGACATGGAGTGAGAATCTGTAGGGCACTTCCCAAGAGCAGGGCTCTTTCCTGGCTTTGGGAAGGGTCAGGGGATTAGACTGGAAGGCTTTCTTATTTTTTTTTCCCAAGGAAGTGGAATTCAAATTGGAACCATATGTCTAGTTTCTCTGAGCTACAGAGCAAGGTTAGAACATGGTCTCCAGCAGCTGGCTCTGCACATGGAGCTTTGCTGCCTTTCCATTAGCTTGGCTTTACTATTTTCCTGAATGAGAAGCTGGAGGTACATCCTTTTCTGTGCAAGAACTGGTGGTGGTGGGATGGCATAGCAAGATGTCTAGGTGTGTGTGTGTGTGTGTGTGTGTGTGTGTGTGTGTGTGTGTGTATGTGTTAGAAAATATGTGTGCATATATGTGTATATATGTATGTGTGTATGTATGTATGTATGTATGTATGTACATACACATTTGTAATTTAGGCCATCTTGGTAGCCTGAGGCCATGCTATGATTTTGATATAAGGTGAACCCTCCCTCCCCCTGCACCCAAGGTTCATATGTTGCAAACTTGGTAGCCAGCTGGTGTATGCAGACACTGAGAGGGCCTTGGGTCACCGGGCTCGACCTTCATCAATGGATTCACCCTTCGGTGGAGTCATAATCTGATGGCATCTGAGGGGAGTAGTGGGAAGTGAGGCCTGGTTGGAGGAAGTAGTAATTGGGGTGTGCTTTTGAAGGGTGTCTTGGCCCTGGTCCCATCTTGTTTTACTCTTTGTTTCTAGGTTACTATGAGGGCAAGCAGCTTTCTTCTGTCCCACACTTCTGGCAGGATGTGTCTCCCAGCACAGTTCTAAAGGCGCTGAATCCAGGAGACCATGAATGTAATCTCTCAGGTATTTGTCACAGTGTCACAAAGTCTGACTGACATGGGCATGACTCTCTTGTTCTCCATTTAAAATTTATCTTAATCAACTTCTTTTTAAAATTTCGGTACAAATATGTGTTATATATTGAGCACATTCTCTTGTGCCTCCTCCCTTCCCTTTTCTTACCTCCTGTGGTGGTTTGAATAGGAATGGCCCCCATAGACTCATGTGTTTGAATGCTTGACCCATAGGGAGTGGCACTGTTAGGAGGTGTGGCCTTGTTGGAGGAGTTGTGGTTTTGTTGAAGGAAGTGTGTCACTGTGGGAGTGGGCTTTGAGGTCTCAGATGCTCAAGCTATGCCCAGGGTGGCACACAGTCTCCTTTTGCTGCCTGTGGCTCAAGATGTAGAACTCTCAGCTCCTTCCCCAACACCGTGTCTTCCTGCACACTGCCATGCTTCTCACCTTGAGAATAATGGACTAAACCTCTGAAACTGTAAGTTGCCACCTCATTAAATGTTTCCTTTATAAGAGTTGCTGCGGTCATGGTGTCTCTTCACAGCAGTAGAAACCCTGACTAAGACAGCACCTTTGTCCATATGTGGTTTCACTTCTATGTCATGTATACATCCATGACTGTGCAGCTACATAAAATCTAGGAATCACAAATGAAAAAACATATATTAATCTTTCTGAGATTGGCTTAACTCGCTTCATATGGTTGTCTCTATTTGTATCCATTTTTTTTTCTGAAAATGATGTAACTTTGTTTTTCTTGTGACTGCAAAAATTCCTTTGTGTATATATGACCCATCTTTCTTAAGATTTGTTTATTTTTATTTTATGCATATGAATGTTTTGCTTGTATGTGTATATGGGCATCACATGTATGTCTGGAGCCACTGGAGATCAGAAGAAGGCTTTGGGTCTTCTGGAACTGGAGTTACAGATGTTTGTGAGATGCCATGTAGGTGCTGGGTATCAAACATGGGTCGTCTAGAAGAGCAGTCATTGTTTATAACCACTGAACCATCTGTCCAGCCCCTACTCAGTTTTCTTTACCCATTTCTGTTGTTGGACACCTAGGTTCATTCTATGATTTAGCTATTGTGACTGGTACTGTAATGAGTATTAATGTGCAACTGTCCTTGAGATATGGGAAGTAGCACAGTGCCTGTTACATAGAATCTGCTTCATACATATTTGGCACATAGGTGAATTAAACTGCCAAGGCTCCTGTGTACCAGGCTAATCCAGGAGGTGATAGACAGGCTTCTTCTCACAAGCCTTTTATTCTCTCCACATCCCTAAATACAGCTCAAGTTGGCCTTGAAATGGGTACAGAATTCTATGTTTTGCAGTTGCTAAAGCTCAGATTCTTGTCTTAACTCACACAATACAATGGCCACATTCATTGACTGGTGTTTTCTTTTCTGATGAACACGTTCTGGAAATAGACAGGAAATTCAAAGTACTTTGAGATTTTTTTAATGATGAGTGAATTAAAAATGTCCTTTCCTGTAGTTCTAGTATAAGACACCTCAGCTGTTTCATTTCACAGGACCTCCAAAGGTAACCCAGGATAGTACAGGAATATTTTGGGATAGAAGGGGGAGAGGAAGAGAGATAGTGGGGTGACCAAAGTGTCTGTGTCCTCTCCCTGCCTCTGTGCTGGTCACAGTGCAACTGGAGGCTAATGTTAGTCTTGGAACCCCCTCTGAGAATCAGGCTTTGGTCTCTGTGGGCAGCAGGGTATGACGTCTCTTCTTTTCCTGGTCGGTGTTGGGGGTGAAGTTGCTTCTGCTTGTGCTTATGAGAGACAGGTGTCTCTTTCTGCCAGTCACTGAGCCAGTGCCCAGGGCCCCTCTGAGATAGTGTCAGCCTCAAGCCAGGAGTAGGAACCCAGAGTACTCACTCAGAGAACTAGGGTTTTCACTTGCTCTGTTCCTCATCCTCTGACCCAAGATCATTCCAGTATAGAAGAAACAGGTCCAGGGGAGGTAGCGACATACCCACCTTAGGCTTTGACTCCACCATTAACATCTCCGTCTCAGGATGGAATATTCTCATGAACTGTGAAGCGCTTCCAAAGCAAGGTCAGAATCTATGTGTCTCCTTTTGTCACCCAGGTCCTGGTAAATGGAAAAGGAAAGAGTCAAGACCGTCAGTCTTGCTACATCCAGTTCACAAACCTGTCCTTCATCTCCCCATATACTGGCCATTTTGCTGTTGCCTTGGAAACGACACACAAGTATCAGAGAAGAGGATGCAGATAACAAGGTGGGCCTGTGTGGTGTGGGTGCTTGTGGGGAGGCTTTTGCCTGTAAAGAGAAGTGAATAAGAGGTAAGTACTCCCAGAGAAGTGCCACCCAGACCCCCTGCACTCTTGCTTGCCGCTAGCCTGGTTCAAAGCCCCTGATGTCCTGAGACATGTTTAGAGGAGAGCAGAGAGCCCAGGGGCCTTTCCCTCAGCCTGTTCTGGCATCGAGGCCCTCCCTTTCCTTTGTCAGGAGCCTGCTGCCTCTGTAAATTGTGTCTGGGAGGAAATGAGATCCTCCTTCTACCAGGCCATTTGCTGGCTTCCTGAACCGCTGAGAGTGCTGGGGGAGGAGGGCATGAATATTTTATAAAAGGCCATAAAACATAATTTGTTCCTCTGAGTGAATTAGAAACTGTAGTTAAAAAAAGAGAGAAGTTACCATCCACCGGCCAGGAGTTTTGCATTATTTAACCCCGGCTATTTCATTATATCCCCAGTGCTGGAGGACCGGAACACCGAAATCACACCCTGTGCCTCCGAGGAAGGGAAACAGCTGCAGAGAGCCCCCCAAACAGACACCCTGACTCACTGAGCAAGGGACCCAGGGCTCTCTTCCTGGAGTGACTTGCACAGTGACATGACCAGACAGTAGAGGAGTCATACACAAGCAGAGGATCTTCTCTGTGCAAGTCTATTTGCACCTAAGAGGAGAATGAGAGAGAGAGGTCCTGGTAGGGGTCTCTTCTGTTGGATGCTACCCAAACTCACACTTCCTCCTCTGCGGAAGCAGCTCTTTCGATCCCCAAGACCAGGGTCGGGGGAATCAAGCCGAGAATAGAACAGCCTAAAAGTGGCCTTCGGGCATCACTGTCTAATCCCGCATGCCCGCCGAGATCCTGCCTTCCGGGTAATGTGTCTGAGACCCTGCCCTTCCCACTGTGTTTGGAGGACCCTCTGTCTTCCTCAGCTGACTCCTCCTCCGATTTCCTCTCTTGTGCAATGCACAGGCCTCCCCCAGCTCCTGATGGGGAGAAAATAATCTTTCTTTGTTTTGATGCAAAGCAATTTAACTTCTGCCTCAGGCTGCCCATCACAGCATATCCTAGGCCTTTCTACTCCTAACCATAAGGCCCTTTAATTTGCTGTCAGTACTAAAAGGACTGTCTACTTCATCTAGCAAATTAAACAGTAGACACAATAGACAGAAACTGTGATTTCACCACGTCAAAGTTCAACGTCTATCTCTTCTGGATCATACTCAACAAACTCAGACTTCAGAGACAGCAGTTTAAAAAAAGCAGGTAAATACATTCTTGATCTTGATAATCCTTCCTTCCATGTCCGCTAATTAGTACAATATTTACGATCACTTGTTTATGTCTTGTCCAGCTTGTTTTCTCTTTACCACCTGCCCTTCTCTCTGCACACACACACACACACACACACACACAGAGACACACACAAACAGCCATACACACAGACACACACACACACACACAAATAGCCACACACACAGAAGACATAAACACACAGACATACACGCAGACACACACATGCACACATGCATGCACATACACACACACACACACACACACACACACACACACACACACACACACACAGAATTTGCTATTCTTTCTCCAGAACCTATGGCAGGTTTTGTATCACCAGCTTAGCATTCCTTTCCCCCACTGCAGAGACCACCTGACTCCTCCATCTCTTGGATACTGCATTCATTTTCTGTCCCTCACAGCTACTCACAAGCTACAGTTCATTGACTACCTGCTAAGTGAAGGGTGCTTCTCTCCTTGCCCTGGAAGCACTTACTATTTGCAGCCTGCTGGGTTTGTAGTCCTGATACAGAGGGAGTAAAGCAATCTGGATTCCAGTCACTATACCCCCAAACTACGGGAATTTGTGTCCTCATTTCAAATCCCTACCTTGGCATCACCAAACAGTGCAGTTGTATAAGGAAATGATCATGACCTCTTCTAGAGCTCGGTGTCTGCGATCTCATCCTTAAATTATGTTCTCTGGAACACACATCTCTCAAAATGGAAGGTGGTAGCAAACAGGTTTCCATGGTTAAATCCATTGGGAAACTATTATCTTAAGTAATGTTCAGGTACAGCAGGGCATGATGGTTCCTGCCTGTAATCCTTAGCATTCGGGAGACCGAGGGCAGGAAGATCACTGTGAGTTTCAGGCCAGCCTGGGCTACTGTTTCAAAAACAAAGGAAATGAAACAAAACAAAATGTTGAGGAATAATAGGAACCTTTACAACTTTAATGTCTATTGTGGCCTCTATTTGGCAAACAGGAGTTCTAAAATCATTTAGTTGTTGTTGCTGTACGTGGTGGTGGTGGTGGTGGTGGTGGTGGTGGTGGTGGTGTGTGTGTGTGTAAACGTATCAAAATGATGTATACTAGAACTGTATATAATACAGTTTGAGAGGTGATGAACAGAACTTTCTGACATGGGCTTTACATTACTAGTTGTATTTGATGATGCTCTGTACCCTGAGAAATTGTCTTCTCTGTACTTCATTTTTTCTCATTTTTAAAAGGAGGCCAGGAAAATTTGCTACCCTCCCCCCAGCTTTCAACCAAGTGCATAGAACACAGTAAGAAGTCTTTAAATGTCTGAAAGTAGTGATGGCCACCTCTACTACATACTTATTGAAAGGCTAATGGAGAAAAGGAACTGACAACATGCAGGCTTAGCTGGGCCCATGACCCCATTGGAGATATCAGATGGGACATCAGAATGAGATGCCAGGCTGCTGCTACTTCAGTGATACCGTTAGGTCAGAGAGTGGACAAAGGAAAGAAAGAATTGCAGACCAACCCCATATAAGCGCACGGGCTCTCTACAGGATGGTGTGGTAGGAGAGAAAAGAAGCAGCAATGAGAATAAACATCATCCCAGTTAAGCTTCTGAAATGAAGTACATGATATCATGAAAAGAATTGTTATTCTCTTCTTTAGTGATAGAAGATAGAACATTTATCACCCCTGTTGCTGCATCTTACAAAGAGGAACTCGGCTAAGCAGGTTGGTCAGCAAAGACTAGGCTGTGCTGCATGTAGTCATACACAGCTTGGAAGTCTTGGTGGGTTATGCTAAAGGAATTTCTCAGACTCTGTATTTATCCCTGGCATTCTTGTGGCTTGGATGGTGGATGGCGAGAGCTCTGGACACTAAGTGATGCCAATCAGATCCGACACATGATATAACTTGGCCTTTCCAAGATCAGAAAGAGCACAACATATAGTGTGCTCATGAGGCAGAGAGATAGAGCTCTTTCAAAAACAGCGGAAATGACCACCAAAGTCATGAAGTGTTTGACTCACACACAGGAACTACGCTAACTCCAAAAGGCCTAAGCAGCCCCAGCATCAACTTATGGGGCAGCAGCAATTTTCCTCTTAGAGAGTAACACGTTCTGAACTCCATATCCGTCACGGTCATGGAAGCCTCCTGAGTTAAAGTCTCAGGACCCCAAAATGTCTGCTATCTGTTTACTCACAATAGGGTGTCTGCAGTCAATATTCTTACTTGGAGGGCAAAGAAGGAGGATGAGAAGTGGTTATTGGTTCATCATGAGACATTGTGTAGATGCCTAGTGGAGTCCCCAGTCTACTGTTCTCTGGCCCTTGACTGCTCCCCCCAAAGGCTTTCCTTTCTGCTGGCTGGCCATAGCTGATAGATAGTGCTGGCGACATCTTCTTTGGGGACTGAACAGCTTCCTCAGTCTGCTTATTTAGGGTCCTGGAGGTTCTGAATAGTCCTGAAAAGTCCAGGTCGTGGGTCCTCTGCTGGAATGACTATGTTATGGTATGGATCATAAATTTCTCCCAACATCCTTGGTTGCCACAGAAGGGATGGTGGGGACCTTTAAGAGGTGGAGCCTGATGGGAGGAAGTTAGGTCATTGGGCATGTGATGGATAATCTTGATTTTCAGTTTGATGAGATTTGGGATCACCAGAGGAAGAAACCCCTGGGTATGTCTGTGAGGGCCTTTCCAGAGAGGTGTGACTGAGGCGGGACCAGCCACCCTGAATAAGAGCAGCATAATTTCATGGGCTGGGCTTCCAGACTGAACAGGAAGGAGAAAGCAAGAAGAGTGCTGGAATTCTTCTCTCCCTGCTCCTGTCTGTGAACACAGTGTGGTCAGCACCTCACTGGTGCCCAGGATGTCCTCACCATGATGGATGGCAACTTTAACTGTGAGCCACAGCAAACCCTCCCTTCCCAAGCTGCCTTGGCAACAAAAAATAACAGAAGAGGATGCTGGCCTCTTAGTTCGTCTCCTCTTTCTTGAGTTCTTGGTGTTCAGGGTGAAAAGTCTCCACTACATGCTCTCACCATGATGTCCTGTGCCATTCCAGGCCCCCAGAAGTGGGACCATGTGACCATGGACTAAATCCTCTGAAGATGGAACCCCAAATAAACATTTCTCCCTGATACACTGATTATCTCAGCTATTTTGTCAAAATGATGGAAAGCTGAGTAATGCAGACTGTCTGAAAGCCTTTTTAGGCTTCTCTCCCTGTTACAGATACCCCGGTGGCAATAACTACATGTATGACACATGTGTGGCTCTTCTCACTGTAATATAGCAGTGCATAACGTGATACTATCTGTTTGCTGTGGGAGGGTCTCTCTCTTGTCTTTCTTTCTCGTTTTCTTCCCTCCCTCCTCCCTATGTCCCTGTATCCAATTCAAGCGACTCAGCTGACTTTGTAACTGTTTGCTCTAGCCCACCCTGTTTTATTCAGAGCACTTGTTCAGGAAGCAAGTCTGAGTCCTAACCAGCCTTTCTCATACAAAGGCCCTTAAGTATTTGCTCACTTAATTGGGAGTAGAACAAGAGGCAGTTATCTTTGCCAGCCCTGACCTCCCCTTACACATTTCTGGACTCTCTCTTGTCCACTTCATCTCCTCTTGCCAACTGGCCAGCTCTTTGCCAAGCTCATCAATATGGCCCATTACATTCTCTTTCGGAGCCAATGGTAGCCACAGAATGCTATTAACTGTTTTTGAACCTCTTCCTAGAGATGCACATTTTATCTGCCTTCTAAATTGCTACAGTTTTTTTTTTTTCGAATTGAGATGCATTTCCAGCAACACCATTTAATTAGTTTTTTTTGTTTTGTTTTGTTTTTGTTTTTGTTTTTTTTTCACTGACCATCATTCTGCTGGTGAAACATTGTGGCTAATTGTTAATGTTTGACTATAGCATGCTTCCACTCCCACGCACTAACTTTTGAATCAATTTGGATAGACTCAATTATATAAAGATAACAGAGCAACCCTGAACATGGGAGACTTGGAACAATTGGGGCTCTCTCTCCTTCAGGCTACTGTTGCTTTGGATGGGGGTATGAGGTGTGGTCTAGCTTCATGTCCCCTCATTGTGGAATGCATCTGGCAGAGCAGCCACCCATGGTGCTTTGCAGTGCTGGCCACTGTGGCTGGAGAAAAAAAGCTCTGGGCGGAGCTTCCTACTAATGATTAAACATTTTGGTTCAGAAGCCCCAACTACCCCTTCTGCTTATAACTCACAGTCCAGACCCTTTTCCCATGTACCACCCAGTCACAAGAAAGCTGGAGAGTACAAGATCCTGCATTTCTAAACCTAGAGGGATGCAGAAAGTAGCAGCATCCCTGCCTGTCCCCGCAAGAAAATGAGAAGAAGCTGGTTGCCAACTTATGATGCTAGCAAGCTCCTTTGGGATCTTCTCTGAAAGATAGGAGTTTCTTGTGGATGGATTTCTTGGCATGGAGAGCCCTTCCCAAAGGCTGTTGATTTGCAGGGCGCAGATGTCTAATGCATTCCTTTCCCAATATATGTCTTCACTCCAGTGAGAACTGTTGAATTCTCGCTGGCAGATTCACCAGCCCTAAGATCAACATCACCATCTGGCTATCAACACCCTCCTCATCCTCATTTAAAAACCTCAACCACACAGTTCATTAGAAATAGTATTCACCTAGGGGATAGGTCTGTGTACTTGTTCTTCCTTAGTGCACTTGCTCACAGGGAAAGCTGAGGAGAAAGGAAGTAGTCACGTGACTCCCAACCTCTTAACTGAATGGGGAAGGGACATTAGGGGTAAGATTTATACCATCAAGCAGTCTTCAGATAGCTTGTGGGACCAGTGGGTACTACTGGCAGGAAATTCACCCTCAAGTTTAAGGTATCTTTAATGTCACTATTAGATGAGCAGTGTGTGTGTGTGTGTGTGTGTGTGTGTGTGTGTGTGTGTGTGTGTGTGTTTGTGTGTGTGTGTGTGTATTTATGTATAAAGATATAAAGATGGAAGGTAAAAAAAATGAAACAACAAAAGTTATCTGTAAAGTATAGAATCATCCAATTGTCCATTCTTCCCCTCAAGGCTTTCTAGGATCTGGAGCTTTCTCCCTCACCACTCCAGCAGAGAAAGGATGGAAACATTGCAAGAAAGTAGAAATGGCCCAAGTCTTGGGGGAAATAGTGAAAAGGGAGGCTGGGGCCTGTTAGTCATGACTGTCTCGGGTCAGAACAGCTTCCGTACAGTTCATGGCGCGCAACTGAAAATGCAGGGATGAGCCTTGCGTAGAGATGCAACAGCAGGATGGGGATACAGTGCCTGACTTTGCCTCACTACCCCTGCTTCTAGCCAGCTCCAACCGGTCTGCACTCACAGTGGAAGCTCAGGCATGGGAGATATTTCTCAGGGAGGGTGTGTCTTCATTGGGAAGTGAATGTGGGGAGGGGGTCCAGAATTCACTGTCATCCTTGGTTCATAGTGAATTCAAGTGCATAGTGAGATCAAGACAAGCCTGTGTTACCTCAAACCCTCTCTCAATAAACAATAACAAAACCACAATAGATGGAAATGATTATCAATTTTGTGCCATCCTGTTTGGCACATATCTTCTGGTGTTTATATTCTGTCTTTTCTTCTAAAAGAATTTAGTGCCATAGATTTAGGTATTTCTAAATTTAAAAATTCATAAATCCTATATTTCTCATCTATGTTACAGACCCAAATCAGCCACTACAACCATGATGACTTCATTTGCATGTCTACTTTGCCTCTCTAATTTAATATCTCTACAAACAAGATCTTGATTTACTCTACTGGCTTAATCCCTCATCTCCCCTGTCCTAACTGATCAGACTGATGATCCACCCTGTTACTCCAACTAAGCCCTGACATGTTCCTTGCTTATTTCTCATGGGTAACCAGTTCCCAATGCTCCATCGGTCAAAGTCACCCATTTCCAGAATCTCTGCCCACTCTACTTACCCTAATTACTTACCTTCGTCCAATTTACCATCATCTTTTCTTCAGAATACCATTCATTTCCTAGTCTTTTTATTTCTCCTTTTGTCCCTGTGGTGGTTTGAATGACAATGCCCCCTTAGGCTCATATGATTGAATGCTTGGTTCCCAGTTGGTGGAACTGTTTGGGAAGGATTAGGAAGGTGGCCTTGTTGGAAAAGCTATGTCACTGGGGATGGGCTTTGAGATGTCAAAAGCCCATGTCAGCCCCACCCCCTCTCTCTGCCTCCTTCCTGAGGATCAGATGTAAGCTCTCAGCTACTGCTCCAGTGCCATGCCTGCCTACCTGTCTCCACACTCTCAACCCATCCTCTGAGACTGTAAACAAGCCCCTAATTAAATGTGTTCTTTTAGAAGTTGCCTTGGTCATGGTGTTTCATCACCATGTAATAGAACAGTAACTAGGGCAGTCCCTTGAGTTCTTTCTTATTTCATCCTTTGTGTAAATCACATCTCCTCCACATGGGAACCACTATTAGATTCACAAATATCTAAAACCTAAATACCTCACTTTGCAAGATTTTACCCTTGTTTCTTCATCAATCTCCTTTACTCTTTTCCTTGCATGTCTACGTGAGCCTTCAAAGCTCACAACCTGTCTGGTCTTTTACACGCACTTCTCTGTCCAGAATGTTCTCTCCCGGCTGATTAACTTGGCGTATCCCTTCTCTACTTTGAATTCTTACTAGAAACATTACTTCTGCCAGGGGGACTGGACTAATTACCTTTGTTATCACTGGGACAAAGTACCTGACCAAAAAAGCAACATAAGAAAGGAAGGATGCATGTTTGTCTCCCAGGTGTGTCTCACATGACAGCTGGAAAGGCCAGGCAGAAGGAACAGAGGCTAGTTACACTGTGTCTGCAATCAAGAAGTGAAAGAGAGAGAGAGAGAGGAATGCTAACACTCAGCTTGTCTTGTCTTTTTTATTTTATCTGGGACTCCAACCAATCGGATGGTGCTGCCCACATTCTAGACAGATCTTCTCTCCTCAGTTAAATTCTGGGAATACCCTCTCACAGACATGGCCAGAAGTTTGTCTCATTGGTGAGTCTAAGTTCAGTTAAATTGACAATTAAAATTAACCATTACAGAACCATGCTCTTTAAAGTTCTATCTTCTACATCCATCCCTGACATGGCATCCCTTTTTTCTCTTAATATGTATAGTGTGGAAATATCTTCTTTGTTGTGTGGCACAGATTCCTGGCTAGAAAGGAATGTATTCACTGTTCACTGTTTAGCATCTGACACTCCGGTGGCCACCCAGTAGCTGCTCAATTAGTGACTAATTGAATAAATGACTAACCTCTATGGTCACTGCAGATGTTTGATTTTTAGATACAGTAAACAAATAGTCTGTGCTGAAATGAATCAGAGCCCAGTGAATGGTGGAGGAATGATCAGATCACAAGTACCTGTCATTGGAAGTAGCAACACAGTGTCTATAGAGAGAGGTGAACGACATATCCTCCTTCTTCAGGGAGCTGGCACTTCTGAAGGTGTGATTCTTTAAAATTCATCCTTAATATCTACTTAAGAGGAACTATCTAGGCACAGGGAATGAGTCTGTTTCACAAAAGAACTAAAAACAGAAGTCTGATTCATGAATTTGCTAATGGCTTCTGCCTCCCAAGGGAACCTCCCAGTGTACAATGAAGCCTTTCTAGGGGCTCAGCCTTCTGTCTGATGTGAAGGTAACCACAAACCTGAGTTCTGCCTGTAGGATGGGAGGCAGTGCCAGCCAGTTGACCAGGAGCGTTCAAACGGCTATCTGATGCATCTTCTAGAAGAATCAACTTCTTCTCATACCCTTGTTTGGATGTGACTGATCTCATGGACAAAGTGGCCATGGGGACAACAAGCATGCAAATGAATAATTCGTGATGAAATTAGAAAACAAAAACCCAAAGAATCCCGGTCAAGTGAATTCACAACACAGAAAGAAATTGCAGAGCGCAGGACAAGAGAGTGTATCTCCTGCATCATATTTATTGTTGCTTTATTTAATTTTTTTCTTTGAATGGAGTAACTTTTGTGTGAAGTCTAAACTGCTTAATTACACAGCCTGTAAATGGGAAAACTATCGACTGGGTGAATGAATGCACTGCATTTGCTCCCTCACCCTTCCCTGAACTGCACAAGGGAGGAAGGAGGAGACCAAGCTGAGCAGCAGGGAAGGAGAGGCTGCAGTCTGATAGACCCAGAGGGACGCAGGAGAGCACAGTGGGTATTGAAGCCAGTTTCTCTCTTACTTTCTCTCCCCTTGACTTCCTCCTTACAGGTCCAGGAGCTCTGGTTTTCTCCTCTTCCTCATCCCTCTGGGAGCAGCTGCTGTGAGAACTGAGTCTGTGTATAAGGGATGGCTAAGAACCCACACTTTCATCCTCGGGCTTGAGACAATCTTTATGTGCCATTCCCATCCTTAGCCTTTTGAAGCTCTTTCTTATGAAGAAGCAGCCACACAGAGAGGCTGGCCATTGCCAGCCAATCCACTCTGGCCACGGGAAAGTCAAGACCAAGCTGCCTGGATGTGGCAGTCTGAATGAATAAGATGCACTCTCTAGCATCTTCATCCATGAGATCTAGGGAGGAAACAGTCTAAAGCCTTTAACAGAATGGATGGGAAACCTTGCTGGCATTCAAAGAGAGGCAGAGTAAGAGGCATGGGTTCCCTCACAACCCATTTTGCCCCTTCCAAATCCTACCAAATAAGACTCCATTGTAACATGGCCTAGGGGTAGAGGCCATCTTTCTGGAGAAGCACCTATAATGTGTTCATTAGATGCTCATTGAACATAGTTGTAATTTATTGACATTTTGATGTACCCCCTTTCTAGTTATCCTCCCCCTTTCTTGACACAAATAAATATAAATTACAGAATCTTTTTTCTTTTTCCCTCCAGGGAGGCTTGGAGCAAAGATTCTGGGTTGCAATTCCCTGTATATTGTGTATCTTTAATACTATGATCTTCCGGTTCTTTTCATAGGAGCTAATGGCGGGTGTTCCCAGGACTCCATGAGAGGGTTTCCCACTCACTGGGCATGGGTAGACTTTCCCTCCCCTGTTACTATCACTATGCCATGAAGAGAGCTGCAGCCCCACCCTTCCAGGTTGCAAATGTGAGTCTGTGGGGGAATTAACATTGGGATACAGCCTAAACGCAAAGCTCTCAAGACATTTAAAAATACTTCATTTCCCCCACTCTCAGTAGAGGTTGAAATTGGCAAATGTATCTTCATGGATAGAGAAAATATGGAATTCCCCCCCCCCCATTAAATAGCTGTTGAGGGGAGTCAGATGCTGTGTACAGGGGAGGGGTGTGTTGGGCCAGGGTGTGATTTCTTTTTGATGAAATACACTGCGCAGGTCAGCCCGGTGAACAGAAATGAGAAGAGATGTGAAGGATGGAGGGGGTGCGTTATTAGGATACTGCGGCGGCTTGATTGGGGTGGGGGTGGGGGCGTGTGTGTGAATGTGAGAAAGCAAGAGGCGTGCCAGGCGAGCGCGGGAAAGATTACCGGGGAGGCAAGTGTACATATCTCTCCCCAGCATCTAGGCTTGCTGCAGCCCCTGACTGGGTAAGGGGTGTGATGGGAGAGTGGGGTGGGAGGGGGCAGCAGGCGGGGCCTGCCACGTCACTTGGGGAGTGTTGGGGAGGAAGGGCAGAGCGGAGAGCTGAGCCTGCTGCTGCTGCTTCTGCTGCTGCTGCTGTTGCTGCTGTTGTTGCTGCTGCTGCTACTGCTGTCGCTGCTGCGGGTGTAGCCAAGGCTTGAAGCTGTGGGAGGTGGGTCCCTGCGCTTCGGCGCCTGGGCAGCCCCAGGGCGGTCCCAAGGCCTGTGGAACAGCTCCTGGGAAGAAGGTGGCGGTTGGAACCGCGACCTTGGCCAGACCTAGTTCGGTGGTGGACGTAGGGCGGAGGCGGAGGCCGAGCCCGGGCAAGAGTCTTTGGCGAGCCAGAGGGAGGCGCTTCTGGCGCTTCGGTACCAGCGGCAATCCAGGGTCTTGTAAGGCTGGAGAACAGCAGGACCGGGAGAGAGCCAGCAGGTCTGGAGGGCGGACTCGTGGGTCCTCGAGCCCAGTTTTAGTCACCACTGGGAGCTAAGCCACGCGTCTTTTCGGGCAGCCAGTTTCACGCGCGCGACAGTTTGCGGGTTCCAGGCATCCCAGTAATCTTGAGCACTGAGGCGTGGCTACTGGGAGCCAGAGCCACATCCCAGAACTAGCCTGGCAGAGGAACCAGCTGCAGGTTTCACCGACCTAACCGCCAGGTCGGATCGCCGGCCCCACCCTACAAGAGGGCGCAGCCGGAGCTGGTAAGCGTGTGCCGCGCTCCCGAGTTCGTGTCGTGGGCGCCGTCCTAGTGGCGGGGAGCGCACCGCCAAGGGGACATGAGATCGGAGAAATCCTTGACGCTGGCGGCGCCGGGGGAGGTCCGTGGGCCGGAGGGGGAGCAACAGGATGCCGGAGAGTTCCAGGAGGCCGCGGGCGGCGGTGGCTGCTGTAGTAGTGAGAGGTTGGTGATCAACATCTCGGGGCTGCGCTTCGAGACGCAGTTGCGCACCTTATCGCTGTTCCCCGACACGCTTCTGGGAGACCCTGGCCGCAGAGTCCGCTTCTTCGACCCCCTGAGGAACGAGTACTTCTTTGACCGCAACCGACCCAGCTTCGATGCCATCCTCTACTACTATCAATCCGGGGGCCGCCTGCGTAGGCCGGTCAACGTGCCCCTGGACATCTTTATGGAAGAGATCCGCTTCTATCAGTTGGGGGACGAAGCCCTGGCGGCCTTCCGGGAGGATGAAGGTTGTCTGCCCGAAGGTGGCGAAGACGAGAAACCACTCCCCTCCCAGCCCTTCCAGCGCCAGGTCTGGCTCCTCTTTGAGTACCCGGAGAGCTCTGGACCTGCTCGAGGCATCGCCATCGTCTCAGTGTTGGTCATTCTCATCTCCATCGTCATCTTTTGCCTGGAGACCTTGCCCCAGTTCCGTGCAGATGGGCGTGGCGGAAGCAATGAGGGTAGTGGGACCCGCATGTCCCCGGCCTCCAGGGGGAGTCACGAGGAAGAAGAGGAGGACGAGGATTCCTATGCATTTCCCGGTGGCATTCCCCCTGCGGGGGTGGGGACCGGGGGAACGTCCTCATTTAGTACTCTCGGGGGTTCCTTCTTCACGGACCCTTTCTTTCTGGTGGAAACTTTGTGTATCGTCTGGTTCACTTTTGAGCTCCTGGTGCGCTTCTCTGCTTGTCCCAGCAAGGCGGCCTTCTTTCGCAATATCATGAACATCATTGACTTGGTGGCCATCTTCCCCTACTTTATCACCCTGGGCACCGAGCTAGTGCAACGTCACGAGCAGTCCGTGAGTGGTGGCAGTGGCCAAAATGGGCAGCAGGCCATGTCCTTAGCCATCCTCAGGGTGATTCGCCTGGTCCGGGTGTTCCGCATCTTCAAGCTCTCCCGCCATTCCAAGGGGCTGCAGATCCTGGGTAAGACTTTGCAGGCGTCCATGCGGGAGCTGGGGCTACTCATCTTCTTCCTCTTCATCGGAGTCATCCTCTTCTCCAGCGCCGTCTACTTCGCAGAGGCAGATGATGATGACTCGCTCTTCCCTAGCATCCCAGATGCCTTCTGGTGGGCTGTGGTTACAATGACCACGGTAGGTTATGGGGATATGTACCCCATGACCGTGGGGGGCAAGATTGTGGGTTCATTGTGCGCCATTGCTGGGGTTCTCACCATTGCTCTGCCGGTACCGGTCATTGTCTCCAATTTCAACTACTTCTATCACCGAGAGACAGAACAGGAAGAGCAAGGCCAGTACACCCACGTCACTTGTGGGCAGCCTACACCAGACCTGAAGGCAACGGACAATGGGCTTGGCAAACCTGACTTTTCTGAGGCTTCACGAGAACGGCGGCCTAGCTACCTTCCAACTCCACATCGAGCTTATGCAGAGAAAAGGATGCTCACTGAGGTTTGATGGATGCAGGCAGGGCCTGCAGGAAAACGGGAGCTCTGAGCAAGCCATCTCTCAGGCTTCCTTCTCATGCTCACTACTCCCGCCCTAGCTCCAGAGGACCTCGAACCCCCTCCCCCGTACCCAGTACATGGCATCCTGGACCAAATACCTGGACTGTAGACTGTTGCTCAATCCTCGCAGCATTCGAGGTTTCTCCATCTTAGTGACATTTTGGAAATTTCAACGGTGCCGCCCAATCATACCCATCTGTCAAGTGGATGAGATACATATTTCTGCCTGACCTTCCCTCAAGACTGACTCTTCATGCCTGGGTCTTGTAATATCACTAGGAATGGTGACGTCAATAGAATAGGAAGCAGCTCTACTCAGGTCCCTTCTTTACCGTCCTTTGCTTTGGGTCATGCACCTTCCTTAGCTTCTGGCCACTTGGTCACTGACAGAATCTGGAGACTGGAAAAGAATTCAACTTGCACTTTTAGCTCAGTGCCCGATCCACCTTCTGGCTGGTAGAGCTGTCAGCTGCACAGTTATTCATGCCTAAATTTGGATGGAATTAGAGCAAACACTACCCAACTGGATTATTTGAAGGACCTGAGGGTCAGTTCTAGACCAAAGGGGCTGGTCGATTCCTCTAGGTGTGATCTGGCACAGGGGACCCTGGCTGGGGTCCACATAAATCCTCTCTACTCGAATTCTCTGACTCCCTTGAGCTTCCAGGAAGACTCCTTCTCAGAGCCAAATATTCTTTGTGCGAGCATGTTTGTGAGCCGAGGAACTGGAAAATGGAACTACAGAGCCAGGAGAGGAGGCTGACCAGAGCCAAGTGACTGGCTGGGCCATATATCTGACGCTAGGTGCCACTTAGCAGAGACTGTCACCTTGGACAGGCAGAGGGACTCTGCTGCAGACAGCAGCCAATTCTCCCTAGTTAGCCCAGACCTCTCTAAGGTATCCTCCATCCTTCTTCCTGGGACCTAGGATTGCAGATGATTTTTTTTTTTTTAAACAAAGCAACCTCAGCTTTATCCTGCAGACAGGTGAGTTCACACATTGAATGCCAGCATAGCTCTCCTCCCCTGCCACGGGCAACAGCACTTGGTTTGGAGCCAGAAACAGGCACACGGTCATTTTGTTGACAGCCTCACTCTTAGGGGATTTTGCTGAGTCAAGCAAATGTTTGTCTGCTCTGCTCTTCCTTTGGAGCTGCATTTGGCCTGCTCTAACTGCAAAGGTAACTCGGTGGTCCCCACTTGGACCAAGCCATCTTCTCCCATTGTGAAACCACCACCACCCCTTCCAGCTACCTACTGCCCCCCTCCCCAAGTAACATTGCCCTTCAGTTTGCCTTTGACAAACTGTGATGTACTGTTCTCAGTTCTCACGGGTGCAGTTCTGAACCCCAAAGGACTGTTCCCGTGTTTTTAATTTTATATGGACACTTTAAGACTCTTTGAAGGGAATGCTTTTTAAAAAAGTTTTTTTCGAAGAGCAACTTACAAAGGGACTGACCTGGGGGTTGGCTTGAGAGCCACTATGGCTCCAGTGAGTGACAGATCATGATCTCGGTTTTGCCACAGCTTTACAGGGTAGCTTTGGTGTCACAGTCCCTCTTTGTGCCTCAGTTTCCCCATCCATTAAATGAGAACATTAATGTCTTCCCCTCCCTACCTCATGGGGAATATCAATAAACTCACCCCGGAAGGTGGGGAAGATGTTATGCAAGTGTGTGAATTATAGTAATGGATTTGAGTTTTAGTTCATTATCCTGCCTTCCTGTCTCCCAAAGGCAAGGCCTTTCCCCAGAAGTTTCCACCTTGCATCCAGAGCCTAAGACTAGGCCATTGTAGACCATTAGCTCTCTCAGTCTCTCACTGGCCTTTTGGGCTGGGTCTCCATCCTCTCCCTTATCCTTCAGAATGGAGTGTATTCTTGGAGTAGACTTGGTGGCCAGAGGTCACTTCACCTAGGAGACTGACTTCTCGAAGCCTGGAATATAGTAAAAGACAGGGATATTTAAGGCTCAGAGACCTATTCCAATGCCAGAAAGAAAGTGCTTTTCGTGTCCAATCACTTTAGTTACTCCTGAGCCCACCCTGGTGGCCAAAGGGATGCCCCTAGCTGAGGGTGAGTGTGGGGACATGTGCGCATGGATCTCTGTGTGTGTATATATCGTTACCCTCATCACTGTCCTTGTCCTTATGCAAACATTGCCTTTTCAAGTCAGAGCATGCCTGAAAGTAAAAGATTTGTGGAGAGCCAGGCTCTCCAGGGACTCTGGTTGCCGTAGCAACCTTCCAGACTGTTCTCCCTACTGATCTGGGTATCAAGGGAGAATAGACTACACATCCCAGCTTCTTAAATGGGAGCACCTCCTTTCTATTGGTTTAGGCATTGGTAGAACTAAAGACAAGGACTCAGGACCTTTGAAAATGAGGAAGAAGTAGATTCTCAACACTTCCTGCCTGAATCTTTTTTCCTGGTTCCATATCTGGTCCCCGAAGCTGCCACATCTTGCTCCCGAGTCTTCAGAAACTTGAATGCTTAAAAGCTGCCCTATGAAGCCAACAGCAACGTTAAGGTTTTCGAAAGGAGACCTCAGAGAGGGTACAAAATGTCTCTTCCACAGCAGCCAGGCCGGGCCTTGAGGACATGAATGACACCAGTCTGAGGTGTCATGGCATTCTTGTCTTAGATGCAGGCTTTTCCCAGATCTAAGAGAGACCAAGAAGAGTGAAATCTCTCCCTCCCAGGGAGCAACGTTTCTCCTGGCAAGAAGCTCAGAGGTGGCTCTTAAGATGTCATACAGAAGCTGAGAGGCAGTGACCCAATCTAGTTTTTGTGGAGAATTTGGTCCAGTGACCCCCTCCCTGTTTCTGAGCCTCCATGTGGACATTGTAACCTTGGCACCAGGAGTTATATGCACCGTGTGCTGCCTCCACAGCTGGAATAGGATCACAGCTGCCCAAGAAGGTGGGTCCAAGCCATCCTAATAACAGACTTAAGCCTGTGTGGGCTCCCAGAAGACTTCTTGGGACTGCCAATTTCTGCTTGGGATGAGGACACTCCTCCTGCCTAGCATCCCAGAGGAGCAAGGGACAGCTGGCCTTCCTTGAACCCGAGGTAGGTCCTCCAGTAGAGGTATTTCAGCCCTAACAGAGTGGTGAGGGGAAGTGGGCTCAGCATCTGGTGGAGCAGGGTTCTACTGTCTATCTTTCTTGCTGTGTGGTTCTGTCTCCATCTGTTTCTGTCCCCTCCCTGCTTCCCCCTGCGTTTCCCTACTTCTTCTCTGCAGTCTTCCTCTCCTTCCATATATATGTATTTCTTCTTCCCCCAATTCTCTTCTTTCTACCCCTCCTACCCCATTTAAACAGGTCTTCCTTCCATGTATATCTCTATCTCTCTTTCCCCTCCCCTCCACCCTTTTGACTTTTGGGAGCCCCTTTGGCGTTACTGTGAGGGCCATACTTTGGACTACAGGACAGTTGTGACCCAGGATTTTGCTAAGAAGATTCCCTGTTTCCCTGGCATGTCAGGGTACCGTACTTCCCTTGCATATTCTCTGTTCTTGGAGGAGCTGCACTTACGCAATGAGATGAGAATCCATGGGGTTAGTAAAATGTCTTCTAGAAATTTCTTGAGCATGAAAATGATAGGATAAAAGAGGGAAGGTGGCAGGGAGGAAGGAATGTGGGGAGAGACAGAAATAGAGATGATGATATCTAGATAACGAATTCGAGTCTCAGATACTCGGCCATTTAGCACTGGAGTATGTCCACCTCAGCATCCTCCGACCTTAGGAGCTTTGCAGAGAGGTTGGAGTCAAAGAAACAGTAAAAATGGTGAAACAGAGAAAATTGGACTAGCCTGGAGGAAGCCTTAACAAAAGGCAGATCTGATAACTACTCAGCACTTGGAAGACTTGCTCAGTCTCTGGCTGGCTCCTTGTGTCCTCAAGGCAGAGCAAGAGGAAAAGGCGCCATTCCCAGTGGGGTAAAGCACAGGGCACATGTCTTGATGTGGAAGACCAAGATTCACTAGCCAACCCATAGGTAGGGTGAGTGTGATGTCCCTGCCCTGGACATTATATCAGGACATCCTGGTGGCCGTCAGGACACACACAGCTCACTCAGGCTGTTAAACTAGCACCAGAGAACTTTTGTGGGTGACAGAGCTGTCCTAAAACAGGTGTGTTGAAAGTCGTATGACTTAGGTGAGGGAGACATGAGTCTGATGGCCCAGGTCTTCTCATGAGCTGGTACAAGTTCTGGTTTTATAAATCGAAAGAATGGACCATGCAGAGTACCTGTATTAGCATAACGGTTCTTTTTCTTCTGCAGCTTTAGAGTTTTCCTGTAGCTCCTCCGTGTAGCTGTCACAAAATATAAAGAAGTGGTGCATGTGTGTGTGTGTGTGTGTGTGTGTGTGTGTGTGTGTGTGTGTGAGAGAGGGAGAGAGAGAGAGAGAGAGAGGAGAGAGATCTCCCTTGAGTGTGTACATGGTGCATTTGTGTGTGTGTTTATAGTGTTTGAGTGGTATGTGTCATGTGTATATTGTGTGTGTGTGTATATGTGTGGTGTGTGTTTGTGTGTGTGGTGTGTGTTGTATATGAGTGTGGTACGTGAATTGTGTGTGGTATATGAGTGTGGTATGTGAGTGTGGTATGTGTGTGTGTGTGTGTGTGTGTGTGTGCATGCATGGTGTCTGTGAGGGTGCTGTGGGGTATATGTGTGTATATCTGTGGTGTGGTGTGTGTGTGCGTGCATGTGGTGTGTGTGTGTTGGTGTGTGTATGTATGTGCTATGTATGTGGTGGTGTGTGGTATGTGTGTTATGTGGCGTGTGTGGTGCCTCTGGGATCTCTGTGGAGTGTATATGTAGTGTGTGTGTGTGTGTGTGTGTGTGTGTGTGTGTGTGTGTGTGTGTATGTGTATGTGTGTGGTATGTGTATGTTTGTGATGTGTATGTGGTATGTGTGGGGTGTGTGGGAGTCTATGTTGTGTGTGTTGGGGTGTTTTATTTTGACTGTCAAGCTTTCATGAGATTTACATGCTTACCATTTCTCTGAGGACCCATCAGGCCGTTCTTTGCACGAGCAGGCACTGCATGCATCATAGTATACAAGAGTAGGGGCAAGGGCTTGCTCAAGGAGTTCATACTGTGTTCCAAAGCAAAGCAACCTCACAAAGCCCCCTCCCACCAAAGCACTGAATCCTCACCTCTGTAAGCATCAGGAACTAAATGTAGTTGTTTTTCACCCTCTTTCACTCTTCCCTGAGGTCATTGTTAACCCTTAACAGCCCTGTGTGATAGAGGCTGGCAGTCTCCTAGGCTTTGGTTTAAATCGAAGTGGTTGGAGTTTATCATACTTTTCATATGGCCTTCTGGTGTCCCTCTGTATTGCCTGGTGCCCACAGGGCCTTGTCCTTCTCTTCCCCTGGGGCTTTCCCTCCACGCGACACCTCCGAATCCTATTGCTTGTCTTCTGCACACTGCTCCTCCCTCTTCTGACCCAGGCTTGGCTTGCGGCACTCTTTCCTCTCACCCGCATCTCTGTGTGAATGCCGGGGAAGATTCCCAGGAGCTGTCAGGCTCCCTGGACCGTCCGCCTGGAACTGCTGTCTAACTGTGATTGGTCTTGACCGTGAGCTATTGCCCGAGGAAGGGAAGCGTGTCCTCCTTCTGAGGTGTCAGGGTCACTTAGGGGAGGAAGAGGAGTTCATGCGCTCAGCTCTAGGAGTCACTGCCCACGCCCCCTTTCGACTCCTCTGCACAGACACCTCATAGCAGAGTGAGGCCTGGAGCACAGGGCTCTGGAGGGAGGACACAGATTGCCAGACACAGGCCACTGGGAGGAGGACAGACGGGAGCCTGCTTCTCATGCTGTCACTTTCCTGCTCCGGGCTTGAAGGCCTCATGGGATTGGAGCCTGGGATGTTTTCATGTTTCTTTGCTCTGAACTGAAGAGTGGTTCTTCTGCCCTCTCTGTCCCTTCTTTGTCCCCATGCCCTTGTTTACACAGTGTCCCTACACGGGGGAGTGGAGCTGCCTGCTGTCCACCAGGTTTTTTGCCTGTTCGTTTGTTTTTGGTTTTTCAAGACAGGGTTTCTCTGTGTAGCTTTGCGCCTTTCCTGGATCTCGCTCTGTAGACCAGGTTGGCCTCGAACTCACAAAGATCCGCCTGCCTCTGCCTCCCTAGTGCTGGGATTAAAGGCATGCGCCACCACCGCCCAGCTATCCACAAGTTTTAAAGTGTCATCCCTTCAGAATACAGACTCATTCATAGAATTAAAGGGCGGGGGCGGGGGGGAGTCTGCTAGACAGAAACTCAGTGTAAATGCTGGTCTAAACTTGACCTCTTTGGTACCTAACCCTGCTCAGGTTTATGACTTTTTTTAAATTTAATACAACTGTAACTTCATCATGGATACTATAGAGAAAATTTCCCTTAGGTAAGTCCACAGACCCACGAATTCAACTGTAAGGTCTGCTGTCCACACCCCCTTTAGACTCCTCTGTGCAGACGCCTGCCCTTAGAAGACATCCCGGGACCTTAGGCAGTCTGCTGCTGGCTGCATAGAGTGCATTCAGTCCTGGGCCCTTTGGTGAAAGCAAAGCTAACATTTCAAAAGGAAATTGCAGCCATGAAGTCTGCTGGCGCTGCTATTTTTGACATGCTTGCTCTTCTCTGGGGATTTGACAACCGCTGTCTCCTGGAGACAGACAAACCTGCTCCTGGCAGCAGAGATGTGCTTGGAGAGAACTCACAACATGACTGTCCTGTGGCTGGGATGACACAGGGTTGTGCTATCTTCTTCACTCTTAGAAAGCAAGCCCATGGCTAAGCATCCACAGAACCCCGGCTATGGCCTTACCCTTGTCCAGGGAAGCTGATGGTACTCTGCATGCAGAACTCTGGCTGTGGCCTTACCCTTGCCTGGGAAGCTGATGGTACTCTACATGCAGAACTCTGGCTGTGGCCTTACCCTTGCCAGGGAAGCTGATGTACTCTGCATGCAGAACCCTGGCTGTGGCCTTACCCTTGCCTGGGGAAACTCATGGTACTCTACATGCAGAACTCTGGCTGTGGCCTTACCCTTGCCTGGGGAAGATGATGTACTCTGCAGCCTCCCAAGAGCAAGGAGCCCCAATAGTTCTTGTCATTTACAAGCTTTTGAAACCTAGTCAGGGCTCTTTGCAATTAGGCTTTAGAGCAAAGTGGTGAAGAGTCAGGGCACTGGTTCAGATCCTTCCCTGCTATGCAACACCAGGCAGGTATGAAGCTGTCCCATGACGCAGTTTCCCTCTCTTTTACATAGGGGATGATAATAACATTGACTTGATAAGACTTCTCTGAGGATCAAATGAGTTAGCATATGTAAAATGTTTAAAAGAGTAATCTCTCTTTCAAGATTGACTATTTTGGGTCTGGAGAGATGGCTCAGTGGTTTAAGAGTACTGGTTGTTCTTCCAGAAGACCTGGTTCAAGTCTCAGAACCCACAGTGATTCACAATTGTACCTTCAGTTCCACAGGACCCAACACCCTCTTCTGGTCTCTGCAGGCACACGATATGGACACAATACACATACATACATGCAAGCAAACCACCCATACTCATAAAATAATGAAAATTAAAGACTGATTAATTTGACTCTTATATTTTTACATAGTGAACCTAGGTAGGTAGATAGGTAGGCAGGCAGGTAGTTATCCTCTTTGGTGAGTAGGAGAAGCAGAGGCAAGATGGATTGTGACATGCTCAAGGGCTTGTAGCTATGTACGGTTCATTGCCAATGTTATAGGACAGAATGCATGACAGGGTGTTCTGGTACTGAGTGAGAAGAGCAAAGCTGTGTCTCCTGACTGTGTATAGGTTTTTCTTTATCTGCCAGTTTACCTCTGATAGAAAAGCTGCAGGTATTTTGCTTTTATCTATGGGCTTGGAAAGTTCATGAGCTCGTATCTGCATCATCTGTGTCTGCATCTGCATTTACATCTGTGTCTGCACCTAAGTCTACATCTTTATGCACCTGTGTCTCCATCTGTATCTGTCTGCATCTGTATCTGTACCTGCATCTGTGTCTGCATCTGCAATTGCATCTCCATCCATATCGGTCTGCAT